CCAAAAGAGTACTGGAAGAGGCAATTAGATTATGCAGTTGCAAATTATAAAGAGCCTCTTGGATCGTCTCTTGAAGATAGCCTTTGAGCACCCAATAAAAACTCATACGAAGATATAGGTAACTTCAGAGCAAGAATTGCCTCTATTTCACTTCCTGATGAAACAAAGGAAGAATGTATCAAGTTCATCAAAGGAACTATTTACAGAAGTAGCCATATAAGAGAAGTCGAAGAGCATATTGAGAATGGTAATAGTTGGGTGGTTATTGAATTCAACTGCTGTAAAGGTCTAGAGATATTAAGAGAGAAATTAAGAGAGAAAGAGATTGAATGGTACAAAGTACTATTTGATAATTATGAAGTACAGGGAAAGCATGAGTGTACTATTGATAAGACAGCTAAAAACAAACCAACTAAACTCAAAGAAAAGAGCTGTACTCAAGAAGCATATCAAGTTTCAGCACCTGAAGAAAAGAAGAGCAGTTATATGAAAAAGGCTCTTGAGAAAAAAGAGGAAATATCTTTGAAAGAGAATATAATCACAATATAGGATCTCCCAATTTGGACAAAAAGAATACATATCTTTGAATCAGTACGACATCTTGAGAAAGTTAGCTTCATATAGATTTTTAAAGAAGCATATAGTAAAACATGTGCAGAAGTAAAGTTTATACTGAATACTATTTACGTAAAAGACCAAGAAGACATATAGTACATCCTGTTTTTGAGTAACTGCTTAGTTAGAATTACTTCTGGGAAAAATAACTCAGAAAAACTCAAGACAAGAAGCAAGTTCTCTAGAAAAATACTTGACCTCTCAGAGGATACAAACGAAGTACTTCTGTGGAGACAAGTGAAACGTATAGGAGCTAAAGCTCTTCACATTTTCAAGAATACTAACCACAACAATAAGAGAAGTGCAATAGTCTATTTTACAAGAGAAGCAGATCATACAAATTGCGCGAAGTTTGCAACTTTCTACTATGATGATAAACTCAAATGGACTACACTAAGAGTTAATGATAGTGTAGATACAGAGTCTTCTGTAGAAAATTCAGAAAGTCTAGAGTATTTCCAAAGAAAAGTGCAAAAAGCTTTGGGAAAATGAAAGTAACTGAGCAGGACCTTGAGGAAGGATGCTCAAAGCATGTTCTCAAAAATGCACAGAACAAAGAAAGAGAGTTCACAACATGTAAAGAGCATAAGAGTGTAGATAATTATATATATAAAAAAGAGGGCAACTTAGACAAGTATCTCTTTATAGATTCAGATTATGAGGGCTCTATATCATCTGAAAGCAGTAGCAAGAACAGAATAAGTAGTCCGAGAAATAGAGGGAGCTATTATGATAATGGCCAAACAAGTCTGCAACATAGGGAATGTAATAGCTTAAGTATAAGTGAAGTCTTAAGAAGTCTATTACTTGCAGAGAAAGAAGAACATATTTTGAAAAACAGAGATAGATATAGGAGTCATAAAACTCCTAATAGCTCCTAAATTATTGTACTAGTTGAATTACAGAATGCCCAGATTTCTCAAGAAGAAAAACTTAGAAATCAACAAAGGGTAAGAGAAACAAGAAACTAAGTACGAATAAATAAAGCAAGTGCAGACATTGAGATAGGAAAGAAGGTGTTAGAAGTAGAAGCAAGCACTAATTTTAGAATACTCAGTATAGTAATACACAATATTAATAGAATAAAAGGCAAGACTATAAAACTAGAGTTGCTAGCAGAATGGGCATATAAGGAAAAAATTGATATTATAGAAGTTAATAAATCAAATATTAGTAAGTAGCAAGGTAAATTTGTTTTAAAGAAAGAATCTAGATATGTTAGCTTTTGGACATTTAATACTTTATGAGTATCTTCAGATTCCTTCTCTATGAAAAGAATCTCAACTGCTGTTTTGTTTTTATTTGAGAGTTTGCTGTTTAGATACTCGATCTCTTGAGTAATAATTGATTTGTTGTTGCTACTTGAATTCTTTGTTTCAGCTTCTTTAGCTGTTTCTGTATTAGTAATTGGTATTTT